TAACCCCTGCGAGTCAATCGTGCAGTTTGAGCAGGAGCTGAATCGCGCGACTGACAAAATCGCACAGTGTGAGCCCGGCATTAGTTGTGGACTATTAATTTGCTGTCTTATGTTAATTTTTTAATACTATTACAATTATGAGTGAAAAGGATGCTTAGTTAATGTAAGCCTCGATCGCAGCTCCTGGTGGTCAGCTTCATAGTAAATTAAAACTACTTGAAAAGCATAGGCAGCAAGATTTTTATTAGTAATGATCTTATTTATATTGTTAGCAGCTTGTTAGCCAAAGTAAACGTTGCTTTTCTTTGGACATTTTGCTGCTTTTTCATGCATTTTCAGTCTAGTCCTTGTACCTTTTTCAGAAGAATGTTTAATATTATCATCATCATCATCATCATTATTATTATTATTGTAATCTAAGATACGATAAGATAAGATAACCTTTATTAGTCCCACATGTGGGAAATTTGTTTTGTCACAGCAGGAAGTGGACAGTGCAAAAGTTATGAAGCAAAAATTAGAATACAATAAGAATAAATACAGTACACAACTGTACAGAATAGAATACAATAAAATACTATATACAGTAGAATGAAATAGAATAAAATATACAATAAGAAAAAAATCGAATACAAATGCTATATACAACTGAGTAAAAATACAACGATGCCAGAAAAGGTTATTGCACATTTGTGGATCTATGAGCCATTCAAGTATAAAAAGGCACCCAACTCAAGGATGATCCAGTGTGATCCAGTCTAAACATTAAATTTGCTGAATTAATTACTTGCAGCCTCTATCAAAAACATTTTATATGTTCCAGTTTCTTCAGCTGAATCTACAAAAATGCCAAAGATAACACATTTTGAAAGGCTTTGTCCCCAAGGTGATTTCTTATAAGTTAGAAACTCAGCATTGTGTGCAGTGTGTCCCTAAAAATTCTGAGGAAGAAGGTTTTTAGTGTTATAATGCATTAGTAGTGCTACATTAATGTGGGTCAGCATTGAGGGCCTCTGCTGTCTCCCTTGCTTGTTGAAGTTATTTGGGTTAGTGTGTTTTTTTTTTTTGGCTGATATCCTGTCTCACTTGTGCAATGATGTCAGTAGAGAGACCAACTAGGAGTCTCAGAATATTGTGTTTTTATTATTATCTCATATCATTAATAGGTACATTTAGCATCCACTGAGCAACATTTTTTAATCAGTAGCCACCTTGACTAAAAATTGGCAGTTATGCGCCAAATCAACTCGAGCTGCATCGTGTCCCACACAGTAATTTGTCTCATTGTTTCCCCAAATTGGTTGCCTTACTTTCATTTTGACAGTACATTTATGTTCATGAGTTCCCAGCTGTACCTCTGACAGCTGCTACTGCTCAGCATCACTGCATGTTACTTTAACCCCCTCCCCCAGCCAGCACCCACCTGTAGGCTCTGGGGCTGTATTTATTCATCACTTCCCAATTGCTCCATGTGTCGTATTTGTTGTACTCCGCTGCAACCATTTCAACACATCTATGCACAGAATGTTGTTTACACAGCGATATCTATTTACATGTACACAAGTGAGCACAGCTGTGTTCTTGTGAATGAAACATAGGAATAATATTATTAATAATAATGATGAGTAATAATTATTTGTAATTTAACAGTTTAATTGTAACAGTCCAAAGTTTGAGGAAAGAAAAAACTACACTAACAAAAAACAACCCCAAAGATAACAAATTAAGCCTTTCGAGATGGGATGTGAATTTGGTAAATGGACAGGTAAAGCACTTTTTTCTGTTGAGGATGTGA